ACCATTCATTTTCAATCGCCTTTTTTGCCTGATACTTCCTATCAATCAGCTATGACAGCTGTACATGAGTGACCAGATGTTCAAAAAACAGGTTTTATAGAGCTGTCTGCTTTGATTAATGCGAAATCAGTGGAGTACTTTAATCTTTTTATTCTGAAATTTGATTCTGGACTATAAAATTCATGATGCTGCTTTTATGTATTGATTTTTTTTCTCCCCAGTTAAAGCACCTAATTTATGCCATGTATTGTGGCTGCTTTTGGTTTCTGATTGTACACTACCATTCAAATTTTGGGGTCAGAAAGACTTTTTAAATATTTTTAAAGAAGTCTCCTATGCTCATCAAGGCTGCATTTATTTGATCAAAAATACAGAAAAAAAAACTGTAATCTTGCAAAATGTTATTACAATATAAAATAATGGTTTCTATTCTAATATCCTTTAAAACATAATTTATTTCTGTGATGCTAAGCTAAATTTCCATCAGCCGTTGATCCAGTATAAAGTGTCACATGATCCTTAAGAAATCATTCTAATATGCTGATTTATTATTAGAATTATCAATGTTGATAATTGATCATTATTTTTTTTAAACTGCGATACTTTTTTCAGGATTCTTTCATTAATAAAAAGTTAAAGTATAAAGTGTCACATTATCCTTAAGAAATCATTCTAATATGCTGATTTATTATTAGAATTATCAATGTTGGCAACAGTTATGCTGCCAAACATTTTTTTGGAAACCGCAATCCTGCGTTTTTCAGGATTCTTTGATGAATACAAAGTTTAAAAGAACAGCATTTATTCAAAATATAAATATTTTCTAACCATATAAATCTTTGCTATCAAAGATTTATATTGTTATTTAATAATATTGTTATTATTTACTGACTCCAAACCTTTGAATGGTAGTGTATATTGTTAGAAAAGATTTCTATTTTAAATAAATGCTCTTCTTTTTAACTTTTTATTCATCAAAGAATCCTGAAAAAAGTAGAAAAGGTTCCAAAAAAAATGTGAAGCAGCACAACAGTTTCTAGCACTGATAATAAATCAGTATATTAGAATGATTTCTGGAGGATCAT